GTATGTCAAGTTTCACATACGGAACCGTAATGAGAGCGGCAATTGTTAAACAGCTCAGGTCTACAGGACCTAGTCGAAACCATGTGAAAGTTAAGGGGGCCGCGGCAACTAGACGATGGGGCGGAATTAACGCCGGTGAAACAGAGAATGTGAAATGGCGGCATTTCCGGCGCCATCACATATAGATTAGTTGAAATTTGTTTAATTTCAATGAAATTATGTGTTATGCTGCAACGGCCATACCGGTGCTCAAATAAGCGGAGTATGATGGTGATCATGTCCTAAAGGACGTGATGAACAATATCATAACAATGTGATAAGCTGATGGGGACAGCATTGAGTTGGTACGTCAATACAGGGGTGTATACGACCTAGTCAAAACCATTGAGGCAAGCAGCTCAGACCATAACTGAGGCGGAGTAGGCGCGTGCACTGCTCGCACTGACAGCACATGTGAGGCAATGTGCTGGGTGACGACCAGCCTGCCGCCATGCAAATGTCCTGAACAGATATGCCATTTGCCCAGGCCCATGCGGACGCGAGTATATAAAAGCGCTCGGTATAAATGTGCACCATACGTACAGGGCACAGGAAAAGTGTATTAAGCAACTCCGGCCCGGACAGTGTTTCAGGACGGAAAGCAGATAGTGTTATGACCTGTGCTTTAAATGGAGTCGAAAGCACTTTAGGCACATAACCCTAACTAGGCTTTAAGTTGAGTATGCAATCACCTGGCCCGAACTCAGTAAACGAGTCGTCAACTGACAGCACCTGCAGGTCCCCAACTCGCTTAACAGAGGCCAGCGTGAGCAGGAGCGCTGTCTTGAGAGAGAGAGCGCACGCAAGCTTCCTGATTGTATGGGCTCTAATGGGCTTTTTTGCTCTTGAAGGAAGGCAAGAATTTTTGGTATTGGGTAGTTGAATGGGTCTTCGCCCCGCAACCCGCACCAATTTGTGAAAACTCTCCATTTATGTGCGTAAAGACGCCACCAGTTCTCCACCAGTTCTGGGAACCACGGCTGATTGGGCCATTTCGGTGCCACTAACAGAACAGATTCCCTTTCCTCTCTTATTTTGCAAAGCACGCGAGGCAGAAGTTTCACTGGAGGAAAAGCATACTTGCGTAATTTCAGCCAGCTGTGAACTAGTGCATCCACTCCCAGGGGAGAGTGTGTCAGTGAATAAAACAGCGGGCAGTGAGTGTTCTCCGCTGATGCGAAGAGATCCACCTCCGCCCTGCCGAATACACTCCAAATCATATTGACTGTCAAAGGGTGTAATCTCCACTCCCCGTGGATTACCCCGCCCCTCCACAGTAAATCCGCGCCGTAATTCAGGCGTCCGGGGACGTGTACTGCCCGGATGGAGAGGAGGTGTCGATCTGCCCACAGAAGAAGGTCCCTCGCCAGCCGCAGCAGCGGCCGCGAGCTCACACCCCCTTGGTGATTTATAAACGCTACCACTGTCATGC